CATACATACATACATATTAGTATGAGTAATCTATATACGTGGAATCAGAAGTAGACCATACATTAATCAATGGATCAGAATTCCAGTTCATCAAGATAGCAGTGTGTGCCTAACTTTTCTGCTCAATAATTGATATAGTTAAGAGGGCCTATAAACGGACAACAATGCATATGTACTTATTGCTTTGCGTATGGTCGTAAAATTATAAGGGGGAACTCCAAGACATGAATCAGCATGCATGCTAACTTGTAGGAATGAAAGTTAACAAGTTTAAGTTATCTGCACCTATATGTAGATTAATATATATCACAAGTTTCACTGTTATCCAAATTATATGTACACCAAGCAATCCCACATTTGTATATATCATACACATAATACATTAGACCTTTTTTTGGTTAATATGCACCCAGGGCCGATCCTGAGATTTGGAGGCCCTGTGCGAGACTCAAACGGAAACCCTTACAAGGTCTAAATTTTGGTTGCTATATTTTTTTTATATTTTATATTTTTTGTGTGTATAAATTGATATAAACACAAAAGGAAATAAATAAAAAAGAAGTATGGTTTGGTGGCTATATATCTGCATTTATGTTTATGAGTTCGAAACTCCTTACTTTTTAAATACAAAAAACATGGTGTGGTGGCTATGTACATAACATATCACCGTACATATATCATAATCAGAACAACTCATGCTCTTTATTATGAACTAGTTAAACAAATCACTGGTTATGATATTGTAGCATCTTATAATGAACTCTTAGTTTTTTTATTGCATTTTTTCTCACTCCCTAAAGTGAGGATGATTCTAACCCCCACTCGGTTGATTGTCGTTAGATTAGTTAAAGTTCGAGATTCGTGTCTTAAATCAATTAAACCAAATTAATTTAACAGTAATCAATAGGGGATGAGCATCACCTGCTCACGTTCCACTTTAGTGTTGTGAACAAAGTTGTATTATATATATATATATATATATATATATGACTAAATGGTCTTTAAATAGAATGAAAATTAGATGATCTTTAAAAGTTGACCAAAGAATAAACGAATGACATGTATTTAATTAAATGATATCATATATGGAAATGGGGGTTTTAAAGATTATATCTTCAAACTTTTAAGGATTTTAATTAATTATGATATTCCTAATCATAAATTTATCATCAAAAGTTATCTTTTATAATGATAGAAATTAAACTACAAATATTAAAGAGAAAAGAAAAAATTAATGTAGTTCAAAAAAGGCCCAAAAAGGGTTCTACTGGGACTCGAACCCTTACAAAAAGGTATATAGGTACCAGCGCTTGCCAATTCCCCTAGGGCAACATTATGAATTACTTTCACATTCTTTTTATATGTAGTATATTATAAAGGTCATTAAAATTCAGGGCCTCCCTAAAAATCGGGGCCCTGTGCGGTCGCACGCCTGGCACCCCCTCAGGGCCGGCCCTATGCACCATATACGTACATGCATGCACCTTTAGCTAGAAATGAGATTCTTCTGTTTTACGAAATGTGAGACTGCTGGTCGATTGATAATGCCCCACTTGTCGATCAATTGTCTTAGATTCCACACTTTCATAAAAAAAATGTGATCTCTCTAATTTTTTTTTTTCTTTTTTTAAGATTGGAACTACATAAAAATCCAATCGACATGTACTTGCACGTTAAAGAAATAGTATTGAGTTAGTAATGTATTAAAATTAGCCGTTTCGAAGTACTGAAATACAAGCAAACAATAGGTTACTTTTAACTAGCTAGTTGACATGTAGCAAAGTTACAAAAGCCAATTTGCAGTAGTAATGAACCGCTTCTCTTCCAGATATAGCCTCGTTCAACAAGGTTTACTTGGCACAACATTTTTTCTTCTCTCTCCATTAGTTCTCTCTTCCTTTTCCGGTCAGCTTCAATACAAATTGTATTTAATTATACATGATATGACCGAAGAAATGCTGACAATTTAATTCAACAGAAACCTTTTATCCATCTAAGGCTAATGTTTTTAAATCCTGACAATTGACTTGAAAGCCAAAGTCAACATTGGAAATGACTATTCACCATCCACTCCACTCGAAGTATTTCCATACATATATGCGTGTGTATGTGTGAGAATATTTGGGATGTGCCTGAAAACTACGATTTCTGATGCAAATTGCATTTAATAAGCAAAACACAAGATGGGTTTTGTCTCATTGAAATCCTAGTGTAAAAATACGTTACTCGATCTTCTGGAACAAATGTGAAAGGAGCCCCCACATTGAAAGATTCTTCAAGAGGTCAAAAAATCTACTTGACTGGTTCTAAGTTCTAACAACTGCAACTTTCCTTTTTACTTTATTTATACAATTTGAAATTTCTAATTAGCATAATGCCATGCCCCCACCATTTTACTAACAAGTAATGAACAGAAAACGAAACACAAGACCTTCCTTTTACCAATTTGTTAATGTATTATTTCTTTGACACAGTCACTACTCATTAGCATAAGTTGCAAATGGTTGATTAATTAAGTTGACTCAGCCTTGCCGTAATATGTTTTTATAAATAAATATATGCTTGCATTCTTTGTAGTTTTTCCTCCCAGTTAGGGTAATCTCTGTAGATTCAAATAGAGCATGGTCTTTGTTTCCCAGTAAGTAAAAAACAATACTAAAAACAGTCTACTTCAGCTATAGAATTCAAGTCTTGTTATGATGGTTAATTAGTTTCTAATATGAGAGAGAGAGAGAGAACGACTTGGATGAAGAATCTTCGGCGTAATTTTTGCATGCATCACACGATGTTTCTAATTCACTTATGTTATAATACATACGTGTAGCTATTTAAGGAAGTAAGTTAGGATTGTCCATAGATTAGAGAAACTCTTAGTGTATGCAATGATTTGAGTATGACATAAGGTTTCTCCCGACATTATTCATGATGTTCTCATCTGAGAACTTAGTTATATATATATATGACTTCCCCTTGAAAAAATATTGAACATACATTATTCCAACGTTTTGAGTATGAATTAAAGATCCTTCTGACATCAATATATTTAAGTATGGTTAGGATCCTCGTGACATTGTTCAGGACGTTCTCATCCAAGACTCAGTGTAATTGTGATCTCAATCCTTGTTGTATCTAAAAAATCTTGTTTATAAAAATATTGAACACATGAAGTAACAACATACGACCGTCTAGCAATCACACTATAAACTACTTGTAATCTTGCATAGTTTCGAATTCGTGAACGTTTCTATAAGACTCTCGAACACTTCAAAGAAAAGGACCTGTTTCATTATTCTAAAAGGCAACTTTTTGAAGGGAGAAAGAATAAAGCAATATATCCAGTCCTTGGTCTCCTTTCAATTCAATCACCCGAATAAGCCGCAAGGGATTATGAGTGCATATTGCTTTGCTGATCAAGCTTTTGAAACCGACAGAATCAAAGTTCACAGCAAAATATATACTTGTAGCAGTAGCAGATTTACTCGTTCAAATTCACTTTTTATCTGTATGTGAGAGAATAATTGGTAAACCATGAGTCGGAAATGCACAACTTTTGGGTTTATTACGTATTGGAAATGCACAACTTTTGGAAGCAAAACTTTCAAAAAGTATGCAGTCAAATACACTATACATATTGGCCCTTTTTGAACCATCTTTTTCCACATATTCAACTTCACTTTTGTTTCCAAAAAATTTAGGGCTAACTTTTGTCCTGCGTTGGTGCGTGCCGGAAAATTCATGTCGTTGGGCGGCAGAATAAAGGCTATTTTGCGATACAAATGCCGGAATTTCAATAAATTAATGACAGTGATTTTCACATTCTCGTCTTTTCATTTTGCACTCATTTTATTGTTTATGTTTCTTGATTTTCCTTTGATTCATTTAATTCAAAGATAAAGAAAAGGGAAGTGTGGGGAGAGAAACGAGAATGCAAAAATCACTTCCCTGAGTGAGTTTGGAATTGTTGTGTTTTGTAAAGAATAATCAGTTGTAAAATAAAGCAGTTGAGTTGAGTGTTTAGTAAATTGTATATTTTAAAAGTACTGAGTATGAAAACAGTGTAAAAGTATAGTAAATTTTAACATTAAAGTGATATAATTGCATATAATGAAAAATGGACATATGCACATGGTAGCATTAACAACGGTGGAGAGGCTAGTAGCGGTAATGGTAGGGGTGTGCTGGTTGGGGTGAAGAGGTAGGGGTGGCGATTGCATCATTGTTGGGGGTTGCAGTGACAACTGGTAGTGGTGATGGCAATAGTGAGGTAAGGCTGGTAGTTGCAGTCGTAGACGGTGTGCCAATGACAGTGGTGGTGAAGTCGATGACAGTGGTGGTGAAGTTGGTGACATTAGCATTGGCGATGGCAATGGTGTGGACGATAGTGATTGTGATGGTGATGGTGATGACAGTAGCAATTGTAAGGGTTGGTGGTGGTGCTCATAGTGAGGTGTGGCAGCTGGGATGTAAAGGGAGGTGTTAGCAATAGCAATGGTGATTGGGGTGGCAATGACGGCGGTTGTAGTTATGATGGTAGTAATAGTGGCAGTGGTGACGATTATGGCAACGGTGACAACAACAATGATGATGGTAATGGCAGTTGTAGTGCTAGTGGTGGTAGTTGTAGTGCTAGTGGTGGCAGTTGTGGTGGTGGCGGTGGCGATGTGGCCGCAACGACATTGGTGGTGGTGGCAACAATGATGGTGGTAATAGCGTGGTGATATAAGGATAGTGTTTATAGTGGTAAGTGATAACAGTCACTTTGCTTTGTAGAAAGATAAATAATGTCATTCTTAAAAATTAATGAGGGTGTTACAGAAGTTCAAAGTATTCGTTAAAGACTTAGCTCCACTTTATATAAAAGCAGCTTTTAAAAATAACTTACATGTTGCTTTTAAAAGCTGACTATGTCTTTAAAAATATGCAGAATATTTTATTTTTACGAAACACTTTCTTATTGTATAATTTTAAAGTAAAGAAGTTTTGGTAATATAAAAACGCAATACCAAATGGGGCCTCAATCAACCCAATTCATTGACGCCACAAGTCCTAACCTGCTGATGCAGAGAAAAACAACATTTCAACAAAATCAATCTACAAAAGTGTTCATATTTGTGATTATAAAAAACTTGATCTCCATGCAACAAAGAAAGAAAGCGAAGTGAGCTCGTCACGTAATCAAGGTTCTTCTTCTTCCTCTTCATTCGTACTAATTTACAGTTACGAAGCAGCAAAAAGTAACATTTGGTTGATTTCTGAGCTTTCATCTTTTATATTCATTTCGGCAAGATAAACGCTACTCGTCTATATTGACATTTGATTTGTTGACTGTTGTATACTTAATAGGAAATGCATCTGCGAGGCTTACCGCGCATCAACGTTTAAAGTACGAAAGATTGACTTGATGCTCAGGATGCATGGGCAAGAGGAAGAGTACCAACGGATCTGGCAGCAAAGTTCAGTGACTTGGATATCAATGTCGACTCAAGAGATCAGCAAGGCTTATCTTTCCGCAGTTTCCTGTGTCTAGCCTATCAAATTGGGTGCAGATCTGCATTACATCTTTCTCTGATACCTTTCCCATCTCCTTGAGTTTGTATATGACATATTCCGACTTACTGCACACACAAACACGATATAGTTAGCCAATATAAACTTGACTACTTGCAGTGTGAACTCAGAATTACCAAAGAAATAAGTCGACAACTCCAGAAAATGGAAAGAAGTCGAACCAAGTCACAAATAAATGGTCATACAAGCAAAGCTAGTGGCGTTTCTGAATAAAAGTTCCGTAGTGTAATAATAATATGCTAACACTATCGATTACTACGATCCAATACAACGAACGAAAATCTAAATCACATTATTGCATAGCACTGAGACAGCTTATACAAGTAACTCAACCTCAATTAGGGCAGATTGCCGTGGTCACATATTCAACTAGTCATTTTATTCTTCTGCAAAGTTGGTGAAACCTAAGCACTTAGTCAAAAACTTCTGTGCTCATAATCTCCATGTCGCCAAGAATTTGGGTACCAAATTACCAGTTGCACTAAGCAGTTGCAACTCATATACAGTTTGACCTAAGACGACGTTCAGAAAATAATATCCCTTACAGAGCTCAACACAATTGAAACGCTAAGTTGTTAAGACCAGTAGAGGAGGACTGAGCAAACATGATAAGGAGAATGGGGAAGGGGGATTTGTGCACAGCCTCATTTCATATTATCTGCCAATGATCTCTTGTATAATTCTTTTCAGCTCTCATGCAGTTAGACAGCCCTTCGAAATGAGCAGAAATTGAGATTAAATCTTAACCGTTCAATTAAACCCAACTCTCTCTCTCTCTCCTCTCCTGCCACACCACACCACACCACAGTCAACTCTCTCTCTCCCTCTCCTTCTTAGTTTCTTCACAAAATTGAGGTGAGAAATTTCACCTCCAACGGCTGCAGAAGATCACAGTGAACAGCTGCAGAAGATCTTCCACCTCCGACAGCCATTCCAAGTGTAGAAGGTAAGATATTTCACCCCAACTCAGAATCAATTCGTGTTTTTTATTTGGAATGATTAAATTAGGGATTTTGAAATGGAATTAGGGTTTTCGAATTGGGGATGAATTCAGAATTTCAGGGTTTAACAATTTGATGGCTGCTATTGTTTCTTGTTTACAGAGGCTGTTGCTAAAATTTGAATCATCCCGCAGTTTGAAGCAATTTGAATCCTCCTGCAATTTCTCCTCCTTTGCTGATGGGTCTTTCCTGAACCGATCGGAATACCAAAATTATTTCAAGTTTACAGAATTTTGGGAAACCGAAAATTACAGTTCGGATTCGGTATAGACTTTCAATTCCCGAACTCATTCAGTCCGGTTTTTGGTTTTGGGTTTTCGATTCGGTTACCAAACCTAAACCAGCCCTAATTGTGGCAGTCAAATGGAAGCTCTTGGGTTTCAGAAAACTTAGTAAGTGGTCTACCAAAATCTAGTTACTCAAATAGGTATTTATGCATATCTAGTCACCACTAACGGCTGTAGATTACTAAGCTCGAAACATGCCAAAGTTATTTGATTAAGCAAAGAAGGCTAATTCAATACCAGTTCTGGCCTGTACATCCAATTATATACCACTGATGACCAAATTCATATCTAACAAGACAACAATCTCAAACAACAAAACAGATTAAAATGTCAAAAGATGTGATAATAACACATACCTCACAAAGCCGTTATTGTCAATGTCAGCAGCAAGAAACTCGGAAACTGTCATATCCTGACCAAGAACCCACTTCGCCATCTTCCTATGCCGTTTATCCACCCTAGCCTCAGCCAAGTACAAAAATGCTCGAGCAACAGCAAGCGTCGACACAAGCAACCAAACTGAAGCAAAGATGCGGCCTGGTAGAGACTGAAAAGCCCGATCGCCATACCCAACTGTGGTAACTGACATAACCGAAAGATAAAATGAATCCAACCATCCAAGCTTTTCCACAAAATGCATAACACCCACACCGATCCCAATACAAAGAACGACAACTCCCAATGCCAATCCCACCTTCATCCTAATCCTCATCCTCCCCTTCTTAACATCAAATATGTAAGACTCCTTTTTCTCACCCACACCCTTAAGGCTCCTCAAAAAATAATTCTCTTGCAAATCAAGCACGTAACTAACCATCCCACTAAGCAAAATGTCTACAAATCCGAACCCCAACAACACAAACGCTATCGAAAACAACTTGGTTGCAGTAGTAGTAGGCGTAATATCTCCATACCCAATTGTGCACATTGTCACAATACAGAAGTACAATGCATCAACCACAGGGTGCGTCTCCAGAGCCGCAAAATGATCACGGTTAAACCAATATATAATCACACCCAATGCAAGATATATAACAAGAAGTACAACAGCTTGTCTTACAATCGACTGCGAACCGAACTGGGGTCTGGGAACAGAGCGCCGGTTGGCCACCTCGTTGATCACAGCCATGGCAGGAGCTGTTTTCGAGCGGTGGAGGTTGGTTTTGGTCCATGAGTAATTGGGGTCGATGAGCCATGATTGCGGGGTTGGTGGCTGTTGGGATTGTGGGTCCTGTGGGCTTGTGGCTAAGGAGTCCAATAGAGAAGAAGACGAAGGGGGTCTTGAAGTTCTTGGAGAATGGATAGGCAGAGTCAATGCATCGACAAGAGGAGAAGAATCTCGAGGCGAAGCAGTTGCAGGGCCAAAGATTATACGGTCTTTGAACTCCGAAGGCGTTAAAGAGACAGTGAATTCATCGTCTTCTGGAAGTGGCCAGAGATTCGATAAAGATGGTAGCTTTCTTCTCGGACTGCCTACGTATGGCAGCAACGGCTCTTTCTCCATCTGGGTCCGCCGGAAAACCGCTTCTGGTGTCGCCGGGAACCGGGATTTTTTGTTTGGTTGAAGAAATGGGATTGTGGGGAGGTTTGCAAGGAACTTGGGTCAATTTTCAATTTTTGCAACTCTGGGCAGCCTAAATGGAAGCAGAGGCTCTTCCTCTATCTGGGTCGGCCAGAAAACC